CATTATGAATGCGGCCCACTTTTGTATATGACAGAAACAATGTGATCACTAAATTGTACATGTGGAGACATGTGAGTGGGGGTGTCCTATGCAATGAGTATTGCATAAGATCAGACCATGAAGAAAATCACTCTCACTTTATAATGTCGTTACTATTGAAACTGATTTTCTTTTCATTCGATGACCTAGGTAACTCGATTTTGATCCTAAGCTAACCATGAACTCCTGTTTATTCGAAATTATCCTTAGATTTGCATGGGTGAGAGTGGCTCTAGTTCGCCGACTCAATAGGCCTTCCATTTCAGGGGTAAGACTGGGTGAATGGCTGGGGACGTGGGGTGCAAGATGGAATTCACTCCTATCCACTTTTAAGGATAGAAGAGAGGTAGTTCCCTTAACCACTGATTCGGTTTACTGGTTGGACCACAAACCAATTGTTCATTAGAGGATCAATGAGATTTAAGGGTAAATTGACCACAAACCAAGTAACTCCAGGGGTAAAATGGTAAATTGACCTAGCTCTAGTTACGAACAACCTGTGAAGGATCGACTTACTAATCATGGTTATATCAATTGGACAGAAATATATCTATAGTGAGGGGAGTGCAACTATGAGGCTATAGTGGAGTGTCCTAGTAGTTAACGAATGTTGGTTAACAAAGTTAATGAGTTTAACCGGTTAATCTTGGAACGTTGGAGCCCATGATCTATAGGTCCATTAGGTCCCCCTGCTAGCTCATATCGGACTAAACCATAGAACGATGTGACGAGTGAGTTCGAAGTGTTCGAATTCAAATTAGGGAATATGTGCTACATATATACGATATATTTAACCGCATTTTTGTTTTATTTACAAATTAAACAAAAAGAGAGAATCTGAGATATTTAAATAAGATTTAAATATCTTAATCAAATATGTGTCGGAATTGATTGAGATTCACATTTGAATTAATATTAAATATTAATTAAATAGTTTAATTAATAATTTAATATTACTTTAATTTGAAATTAATTATTCAAATTAATTGTTGAATCAAAATGAAGAAAGTTTAAATGTTGACTTCATTTGGAAAAATCCATGTTTGAGTAGTAGAATTTTGAAGTGTCAAAATATGGTTTAACCAAAATGTTTGCCAAATAAACCTCACAAAATTTAGTGGAATTTTGAGTGTCAAAATTTGGTGAACTCAAACTTGCATGCTTGCCACATAATCTCAAACATTTGAGTGGAATTTTGAGTGTCAAAATTTGGTGATCTCAAATTTGCATGGACATGCAAATATGACTCTATAAATAGAGTGATCATGGTTCATGGAAGGTTTGGCATGGGAAAAACCTTGAGAAAAACGTCTCACAAACTCTCTCTTCATATATACTAAATTCCTCCCCAGTTTAGTCACTCACCGGATTCCACAATCCTGTTCTAAAGCCGGAGAATAGTGGAGAAGACACTAGTGGTTGTTCGAAACCGGTTTGTGAGGAAGAAGAAACTTGAGCGACAAAAGGTTAGTATTCAAACTCATTGAGTTTTAATGCTTTTGAACATGCAAGCCAATTTACTATAATTGATGTACTTAGAGTGCCTAAGATCCAAATTGCTTCCACATGTGTTATATTAACACCATCAAGTGAAGGTTTCGTAGTCGATTGTGGATGCTTTCTTGACGTTGGAGAGCTCTGAGATGAGTGATTGCATAGCTGATAATCCAAGTATTATGTATTCGTTTTCTATTTCCTTTTCTACTTTGAGATTCTTTGAATCTGTGTTTGAGAATCGTTTTTTCCTTTCGGATTTTATGACTTCTTTGACAATGAAATGAAGCAATGTGGTTTTTCTATCTGTGCTTTTTACATCTAAAAGTTTTAAGAGTAAACTGAGATTGAAAGCTTTTGCATTACCTCTCGTTGTTCCTGAATTCAATCGGTTTCCAACCTTGAGAGTTGCTTCTAAGAGTTTAGTAAATAACCCTTTTTCCTTTAGTTCTTCGCAACCCCTATTAAGTATTTGTGAAAAGTCCTTGAGTCGATTAAGCTCTGATTTGAAGCATGATTTGAAAAACATGGCGTTTAGACGATTGAAGGTTGTGGAAAAATCTTTGAGAAGATGGAAAATGAAAGATTCTGCATCGTCAAGCCTTAATGGATCGCCATCAAATTCGAGGATTTGGGATTGTTGTTCTTTGGTTGGAGTGATCTTGACGAGCTTCTCGAGTGTGTCTGAATCGAGGCCATGTCCCTCCGTGAGAGCATCGAGAAGTTCTTGCCGAGTTATGTTGAGGGATTTAAGGACTATTGCAATGTTTCTTGCCCTTTGAGAATCAAGAATTGGGATAAGCGCTCGTTCGCTCTTGTTGAGGCCACTTAGCTTTCTTGGCGGTTTCTTCTTCACATCTTCTTCTTGTTTCTAGGTTGCCTATTCTTCACGATGGTTACCCCATTAGACCTTCACCAAGGGAGTTACTTTGTTATGCAAAGCCTAGTGTCTCGAGCTAGAATTCTGCTCCTTTTTTCTCGTAAGATAGATCCTCTCGAAGAGGAAGCGTTTCGTGCCCAATCACATGGGTAGTGTCTGTACGCTGTATACTGATCACAATGATGATCTGGTGGCCAGGTACTAGAGGATGGAAGATCTATTGGGAGGAGGTGAACCACCTGAACTGGTGGCGCGTGAGCTTGAAGAAGAGGTGGTCGAATTGCATGCCATCAGCGTGGAGGAACCGAACACCTTCTCCGAAGCAGAAAAGAACCCATGCTGGCTGAAGGCAATGCAGGAAGAGATGACGTCCATCACTGGGAACAAGACGTGGAGTCTGGAGGACATGCCGCCGGGACACCGAGCCATAGGGTCAAAAGGAGAAGTTGTGAAGCACAAGGCCCGTCTGGTGGCGAAGGGCTACGTCTAGAAGCAAGGAGTGGACTTCGAAGAGGTATTTGTGTCAGTGGTAGGGTTGAAATCTGTCGCCTATTGCTGGGGATCGCGGCACATCCTTCCTGAGAGATCCACCACATGGACGTGAAGTCCGCTTTCTTCAACGGAGAGTTGAAGGAAACCGTCTACGTCCGACAACGATCTACCTTCCTAGACAACCACAACTTCGGCAAGATACTGCTCCTGCAGAAGGCACTCTATGGGCTTCAACAAGCACCACGAGCCTGGAATGCGAAGCTCGACAGTACTCTTCTGTCGCTAAATTTCAAGCGCTATGCCTCTGAGCATGACATGTACATGCAAGGCCACGACAAGCAGCAGTTGATCGTGGGAGTGTACGTCGACGACCTCATAATCAGTGGAGGCGATATGAAATTTCTTGGGAGATTCAAGAGGGAGATGTCAAAGAACTTCAAGATGAGTGATCTCGGTGTGCTTAGTTACTACCTCGACATCGAAGTGTAACAGTGTACTGCAGGCATCACCATCTGTCAAGGTGCGTACGCAAAGAAGCTGCTGGACACAGTTGGGCTAACAGACAGTAACCCTACAATTTCACCAATGGAGGCCCGTCTTTGAGGAAGGCCGACACTACGGCGACAATTGACTCCACCAATTACCGCAGCATTGTCGGGAGTCTGCGCTATCTGGTAAACACATGCCCTGACTTTGCTTATTCCGTTGGATACATGAGTAGGTTTATTTAAGCACCTAGGAAGGAGCATCTTGTGGCTGTCAAGCGCATCCTGCGCTATGTGGTCGGAACCAGAGGCTGGGGTGTGAGATAATACGCAGAGAGAGAAAATGGCCCTGACTTTGCTTATTCCGTTGGATACGTGAGTAGGTTTATGGAAGCGCCTAGGGAGGAGCATCTTGTAGCTGTCAAGCGCATCCTGCGCTATGTGGTCGGAACCAGAGGCTGGGGTGTGAGATACTACGCAGAGAGAGAAAATGAGAAGCTTGAGCTAGTCGGCTACAGTGATAGTGACATGGCTAGTGACTTTGATGATCGTAAGAGCACTAGCAGGAATTTATTTCCTCTCAGGTAGCGCAATCTGTTGACAATCAACTAAGCAAAAGGTAGTTGTTTTATCTTCTTACTATACAGAGTACATTGCTGCTTCGACGGCAGCAACACAGTGGTCTGGCTTGCGCGACTGATGAAAGAACTAATCAGAATAGAAGACGATCCACCAATGCTATACGTGGACAACAAAGTTACGATCTCCTTGATAAAAAATCTAGTTTTGCACGACCGGAGCAAGCACATAGAAATCAGATTCCACTACATCTGGGAATGTGCAGATCGGGGGCTCATCAAGATTGATTTCATTTGAACAGAAGAACAACTTGGAGACATCTTCACCAAATCTCTGGTGCGGGTGAAATTTGAAGAACTTCGCATGAAGATCGTAGTTCAAACAATAAAATAGATAAATGACAGGGCTTTAAGAGGAGATTGTTAGATAGATCCCTATTTTTTTTTAGTTAAAGTGATCCCTATTTTTTTTAGTTAAAGTGATCCCTATTTTTCAGTTAAAGCCTCACAATTAATTTGAGTGGAATGGACACGTCGGGTGAAAGGGCTTTAATCCAGTTGCCACTCATTTCAATTTTTAGCTTATTTAAATATGCCAAATAAATGAGAAACAAATCTTTCATATTTCACTTGTTGTTCCAGGTCTCGTGTGACATCTTCCCGTCGAGACTTCACATTGGCGACCGGTTTAGGAGGTAGATGACCATCATGACTGCCTCTCCCCATAAACTCCCAGGCATCCTTGTCGTCATCAGCAGTGATCCTGCTATCCTAAAAATGGTCTGATTTTGGCGCTCCACCACCCCATTCTGCTGGAGAGAGTAGGACGTTGTTAGTTGTTGCTGCATGCCGTCGTATTACTTACCGAAACTCATTGAGGTGAATTCTCTGCCTCGGTCCGTGCACAACACTCGCATCTTCTTCCGGCATTCGGCCTCTGCTAGCGCTTAATTGCACTTAATTGCCTCTGCCGCCTCACTTTTCGCTTGCTACAAGATCAGCCATATGAAGCCACTTTTGACATTGACCAGCAGAAGGAAAGGGTCTTTCCGCCAGGGGTCGCCGGCTTGATGGGCCCGCAGATATCGCCGTGCACAAGCTCCCATGGCTCACCGCCGCAGTAGGATGTCTGAGATTGAAAGGGGTTGCGCCTCTATTTGCCGATGAGACACCCATTGCACAGCCTTTCGATCTCGACACCATAACCGTCGTCGATCTTCATCGTCCCGTGAATCCCCGAGTAAACCAACCAGTTAAAATATTTTGTCCTACGCCGAGGTGGTCGCCATAGTCACCATTGGAGAAGATGTTTGAAATCGATTTTTGAAACAAGATCCGTCTCCCCCAACGTCAAACAACCACAAAACTTCATGGGAGAGAGGAGGAGAAGCAAACAGAGAGGAAAGAAAAGAAAAATGATGGAAAAAGACGACGGAAACGGTGCGGGTAAAAGAGAGAAAATTCATAAAAAAAATTGTGCAAGGACCTAATTCGAACCTGAGGTCCAGCATGTAAGCTCGCGGCCCAGCAGCTAAAGATCGGTCTAGCACGAGGACACCATACGACCTACGACTCGACTCCAGCCCATTTGTAAAATCCAAAGTCCAAGTTCCCTCGGCCCAGCCAAACGGTTCTGTTGCCCAGCCCGCGAACGGAAGACTAGCAGCCCACGCCTGCAGCCAATGACACGTGAGACAACCTGAACGCGCGACCCGAATTGGCCTCGAAATCTCAGATGAAGGATTATTGTGTCAGGGATGCCTATGTGTCCAACAATAAAAGAGTTAAGAAAATAGATATTAACGGAGGCACACAACTCGCCATTTGACATGCACCGAGGAGGTACTAAGATGTACCAAGAATTAGAACAACACTTCTGGTGGAGGAGCATGAAGAAAGACGTAGCCGAGCTTGTTAGTGTGAGCTTGTGACCCAAACAAATGAACAAATAGAGCACCTAAACCAAATCTTAAAGAACATACTACACGCTTGCGTATTTGATTTTATAGGAAGTTAGGATTTCAATCAACCCATTTGGGTCATGGGAAATGGTGCAGGTCCCCACTAGGTTGGGATGAAGTAAGTGAGAGAGAGCTAGTAGGACCCGAGATGGTTCGAGTCACCAATGAGGCTATCTAGAAAATTCGAGCGAGGATGCATACCAGCTCAAAGTATACCGAAAAGCTACATCGATGTAAGGCGTAAACTTAGAGTTCGAGATAGGGAATCTAGTATTCCTAAAGGTGGCACTCATGAAAGGTGTCTTAAGGTTTGGACGTAACGACAAGTTAAGTCCTAGATTTATTGGACCTATTAAGAGTGCACGATGTAGTTCACGTGTCAATGCTAAGTAAATACATGATGGACCCTATACACATAATAGGCTACGAGCCTCTCCAACTCAACAGAGATTGAGTTATGAGGAAAAACCAATAAGAATTTTAATCCAAGAAGTGAAAGCACTACACAACAGCGACATTGCGTTCGTTAAGGTGTTGTGGCGGAGCCACCACACTGAGAAGGCCACGTAGGAGCATGAGGACGAAATAAGAGAAAAATACTCCAAGTTAGTACAAGAGTTTGAGACTTTCGAGGACGAATTTTTTTTTAGGAGTATATAATGTAATGAATCGGAAAATTAAAAAAAAAACAAAAAGAAAAATCCAGTTGCTAGAAAAATCGTGAGTTTTCTGGCGACCGGCTTGTTTTCTGGATTCATCAAGGAACAACGCTCCACTTCCCTCTCCAAACGCCAACCTTCAACCAAACGATCCTTGTCCAACGCCCCAAAGCTCCCTAGAAACACATACAACAAAGAAACAGAAGAGAGAGAGAGAAACGGAGATCTTTCCCGAGAACATCGAAAACCTTCATTATGACCCCAATACAAGTAAACCAACCAGGAAAACCCTCACCGGGCTTAGCACGTCCACTCAGAGCAGATCTACGTCGTTGTGGTCGTCGTATTTACCATTAGAGAAGGCGTTTAAAATAAGATTTTTGAGAAACGAGCTCCGCCTCTCCCGACGTCCAACAACAACGAAACTTCGTGGGATAGAGAGGAAAGGGAAGAAAAAGGATGGAAAAAGACGTTGGAAACGTTGTGGGGAATAATAGAGAGAAAATCCATCGAAAAATCACACAAGGAGTCAGGCGAAGAAGAAAGGATTCGTCTGATCCGGGTTGGACCCAATTGAACCCAAGGCCCAGCACGTAAGCCCGCGACCTAAAATTGGTTGATCCAGCAACCAGAGACTAGTCAAGCCCGAAGTCTATCTCCAGCCCATTTGTAGAACCCGAAGCCAAAGTTTCCTCAACCCAGCCTATTTGCTCTACAGCCAAACGTGTCCGCAGCCCATCCTGGGAATAGAAGCCTAGCAGCCCACACCTGCAACCAACGATCCGTGAGCCAACCCAAACCTGCGAGTCTGACCAACCTCGACCCGATGCCACTTGCACTACGTGGCGCGTCTTGCTTCGGCCACGTGGCACCCAGCGGCGCAGACACACCCTCGGCTTCACTCTGCATAAAGGGCTCGCGACGATGCTCCGACGGCTCCTCCAGCAGCTCCTCTGGCGGCTCCTAAGCTTATCTAGCTCAACTTCCAATTTTTGATCCAATTATCACCGTTCTAACCCTCTCAAACCGGTTTTGGGCCCCGTTTAAGGTAATTGAGGTCATTTTAGAGCCGTATTTTACATTATTAGTTGGATTATAAAATAAAATGTGAAATACTAACAAAAGGTGACTAATGGTGCGATAGGAAGCGAGCCCCGACAACCTTTGGAGAAGATCTCGAGGAACGGGAACTTACGTCAATTAAATTAGGAAATACTTCGGCTAAGGCCAACCAAGTAAGTGACCTTACTACAGGATAGGCTAGAAATTGTATGAGTTATGATGATGTATGAGTTGTATAGTATGATGCAGTATCCTAGTATATGTTGATGTATGAGTATATGATGATGGATGAGTCTATGATGATGTATGAGTTATAATGATGTACGAGTTATGATGATGTATGATGTGTGTAATAGATATAGTTGATGTATGAGTTATGATGCTTGATGATGTGTGTAATATATATAGTTGATGTATGAGTTATGATGCTTGATGATGTGCGTAATATATATAGTTGATGTATGACGTTGTTGATATGCTATATGCATTTTATGGCAATATGATAAGTATGATGATTGCATGAGGTTTGTCTTAATATGTTGATGTTTTTCATTTTAAGCATAGTATATGATGATGAGTGTCATATTACATCATGTCGATAGACCAACATAGGACAGAACCCTAAGAGCATATTAATATAAATATCCAACGAGCATGTGTTACTTAATGTAACAACAAGATGAGATTAGAGGGTTGTGTCAAAAGAGATGATAAGATGAGCTTAGAGGAACCTCATGCATATTGTATGTTCATAAGCATAGAGATACTTCCCTTAAAGATGATGAATGCGAACGTACACAGTATGATGACCAAGGTGTTCATGGGGAGCATGACACTATGGGGTTCCGCTGACCTCCAGACATTGCTACAGATTAGCTTGACCAGAGGGTCCAAAGGGTGTGCGAGCGCCCTGGAGATTCACACTTGCACATGTGGGTCGTGTGCAGGGAAGTACTACACGTCCAAATTATCTGAGACTAGAGACCACTCCTAGATGAGGTAGAGATAGGTCCCAAAAGCATGATTGCATGTGTTTATATTAGCATGACCAGTACAGTAGGGTCACTTACTGAGTATTTTTCAAAATACTTAGGCCGTGTGCCATATCATTTTTTAGGTAAAGGCAAGGTGACCATGTACGGATGACAGCGGCATCACAAATAGAGACTGTGGCACGTGCATAAGGTAGTTGCATGTTTAAATTCCTAGTCTTAGGTTAGAATAGGACGTTTGCATTTTATTATTTAAATTATTTCATCTGTAATTGTTTTTTTTTTAATTTAAAATTCCAAAGTTATGTTTTGAAACGCGTAAGACCGACAGTGTTTTTAAGCAGTTTGATGTGTTATGAATGTTTTTAAATTTTCTGTTATTTATGATGAGCATCTAAGAGTTATATTCCACATTTAAGAGATGAGCATGAGATGTTAGTAGCGACTCTTGTTAGGATCGCTCAACAATGCATACACTCGATCAAGATGAACACAAAGAATAGGAGAGAGAAAATTCAATGAGAAATATTGGCTAAATATTTTATTGATGACTACAAGTATGTACAGCAAGAGACGATTTTAAAGATTTAGCCACCTACTAGATATAATCTACAAAATATATCTCTATCAAATTTTTATCAAATGTTTATCATATATATCTCTATTAGATCTTTACGAAATATCTACCAAATATATCTCTATAGGCATCAAGCTCCATATTGTAACAATCTCCCACTTGGAGACTCATCCAAGTCAACCAAAAATTTCATTCTCAATCTTGCACTAAGGTTTTGCACAACCTCAATGTTCCAACATCAACACAAAATGTTTGTTGGATTCCTTGCACCCTTATTTTCTCCAAACACATCACCATCTTCCACTAACCTCCAAGTGAAATGATATCGTCTTCTGTATTTTGTCTTTGAATGATAAATCGGGTTCCTCACCAACTGCATGACACTCTAACTATCTACTTGAGGAATCTTCTCATGCTGCTTCTTGCCTAATTCTTCTAGATAGTCTGTCATTGATATCATCTCCTTTCCAACTTCAACTATTGCCATGTACTCAGCCTCAATAGTATTGGGTTTTATGTCCTAAAACTCGTAGTTTGTAAACAAAAACATATTATATTTTCAATAAAATTATTATTGATGTTTATTCAGTAAAGATTGTTATTGAATAAAGTGAATTTTACGATTATTAATCTAAATCCAATAAACTAAGAACACTTTGACTATAGTATGATTACTTGAACTATATGTAAAGACATAAGAGTAGATCAAGTTCAAGTATATAGTCAAAATGATCTATAGTACAGGGATAAGGCTGAGTACCTTATCGTGGGGACACTATGGATGCGGCCCACTTTTGTATATGATATAAACAATGTGATCACTAAATTGTACATGCGGAGACATATGAGTGGGGCGTCCTATGGAATGAGTATTGCATACGATCGAACCATGAAGAAAATCACTCTCACTCTATAATGTCGTTTATTGATGAGACTGATTTCTTTTTCATTCGATGACCTAGGAAACTCGATCTTAATCCTGATCTAACCATGAACTCGTGTTTATTCGGAATTATCCTTAGATTTGCATGGGTGAGAGTGGCTTGAATTCGCCGACTCAATAGGCCTCCCATTTCAAGGGTAAGACCGGGTGAATGGCTGGGGACGTGGGGTGCAAGATGGAATTCACTCCTACCCACTTTTAGGGATAGAAGAGAGGTAGTTCCCTTAAGTACTGACTCCATATCTTGAACAAGGGGCCCCACCCTCTCATTGGCCTGAGAGGGATTCGGTTTACTGGTTGGACCACAAACCAATTGTTCATTAGAGAATCAGTGGGACATAAGGTCAAGAAGTAACTTCAGGGGTAAAATGGTAAATTGACTCAACTCTAGTTACGAACAACCTGTGAAGGATCGACTTACTAATCATGGTTATATCAAATATTAAGAAATATATCTATAGTGGAGTGAAGTGCAACTAGTAGGCTATAGTGGAGTGTCTTAGTAGTTAATGAATTTTGGTTAACAAGGTTAATGAGTTTAGCCGGTTAGTCTTGGATCATTGGATGATCTATAGGTCCATTAGGTCCCCCTACTAGCTCATATCGGACTAAACCATAGAACAGTGTGACGAGTGAGTTCGATGTGTTCGAATTCAAATTAGGGAATATGCGCTACATATATACGATATATTTAACCGACGCGTGTTTCCACTCAAAACTTGATGCGTGTCCATCTTCAGCTGAGACGTGTTTCTCCGATCGCCGACAGACATGTGGTCGTCAAAAAATTTCTTCTCCCCTCCTATCCGTCGAAAACAAAAAAATGGGCAAATTTCTTGAATCTTTATTTTTTTTTATCTTTCGATCTACAACTCGAATCAACACGATTCCTTTTGCAAAGTTGTAGATCGTAATACCATCTACGCTCTAGTATTTTTTTTTCCTCATCATGGAACGAGTTATGCACAATAAAAGTAGGTCTTTTAGCATTCTTACTGTTCTTGGGAGATCTCTCAAACCTTCGTTCTTCCGACCGAGTTTCTTCAGAAAATTAGTGGAAGACCTTTCTTAGATGAACATATCCAAGTATTAGGTCTCGATTCATAAAGGTTAGTTTCGGATCTGGAAAATATTCAAGAACTCACCTCGGTTCTGGACGAAGTTTCGCGGCGAATCCTCGGTTCTCCCAAATATTCTCCTACCCTTTCTTTTCCTATTTGGTGGCTACTTTAGGGTACCACTTGGACCCCTATAATAGATGAAGAGGAAAAAGACTCATTTGCCCCTCCGTTGACTTTGACCGATTTCCTTTTTTTTTTTCTTTTTTCTTTTTCTAGCGTTACAAAATCTCCCAACCTTAGAGATTTTCGTCCCCAAAAGTTGGCATCTCTTAGAAGATTTCGGGATAGGCTTTCTTCAAGTCTTCTTCTCATTTCAAGGTTGCCTCTTCTTCACGGTTGTTACCCCATGCGACCTTCACCAAGGGAATGATTTTGTTACACAACCGCCTGGTGTCTCGAGCCAGAATTCTGCTCAGTTTTTTCTCGTAAGATAGATCTTCCCGAAGAGGAATTGTTTTGTGCTCGATCACATGGGTAGGGTCTGCAGTGTAGTTTCACAACATGAACACGTGGAACACATTGTGTACATTAGCAAAGTACGGTGGTAGGACAATTCTGTAGGCCACAGCCCCAACTCGTTCTAGAATCTGGAGTGGGCTTATGAACCTTGAGCTCAATCTTCCCTTCTTTTCGAACCACAACACCCCCCCTCATAGGGGCTACTTTCAGGAAGACATGGTCACTCACCTCGAACTCAAGGTCCCTTCTACACAAATTTGCATAGCTCTTTTGATGGCTTTATTGGATGAGTATTTTCTGCTTGCACCGTTTCATTGGTGACCTAAACTAACTCTGGTCCCAATAGTTGTTGCGTGTCTACCTCTTCCCAAAATACTGGTGTTCGACACCTACGCCCATACAATGCCTCGAAAGGGGCCATCTGGATGGTCGTTTGTGATGGTCTTACTATAACACGTGCGGAAGCAATTTGGATCTTAGCCACTCTAAGTACATCAATTATAGTAAATTAGCTGGCATGTTCAAAAGCATTAAAACTCAATGAGTTTGAGTACTAACCTTTTGTAGTTTAAACTCCTTTTTCCTCATGCACCAATTTCGAACCACCACTAATGTCTTCTCTACTATTCTCCGGGTTTAGAACGGGATGGTGGAATCCAGTGAATGACTAAACTTGATAGGAATTTAATATATGTAAAGAGAGAGTTTTGAGAGATTTTCTCAAAGTTTTCCAAGAAGACTTTCCATGTACTTTGATCACTCTATTTATAGAATGATATTTGCATGTTCATGCAAAGTTGAGATTACCAAATTTTGATACTCAAAATTTCACTCAAATTTGTGGGATTATGTGTCAAGTATGCAAGTTTGAGTTAACCAAATTTTGACACTCAAAATTCATCTCAAATGTGTGGGATTATGTGGCAAACATGAAAGTTTGGTTAAACTATATATTGACACTCAATATCCACTAACTCAAAAATGGATTTTTCCATTAAGTGGAGTCAACATTGATTTTAATTCAACAATTAATTTAAATAATTAATTTCAAATCAAAATAATATTAAATGATTAATTAAAAAATTTAATCAATATTTAACATTAAATCAAATGCCAATCCTAATCAATCCCGACACATATTGATTATGAATCCTATTCATAATTAAAATATTTAAATCTTATTTAAATATCTCAAATTCTCTCATTTTGTTTAATTCGTAATTAAATCAAAATGCGGTTAAATATATCATATATATTTAGCGCATATTTTCTAACTTGAGTTCGAACACTTCAAACTCACTCGTCACACTGTTCTAAGGTTTAGTCCGATATGAGCTAGTAAGGGGACCTAATGGACCTACAAATCATGGGGTCCAACGATCCGAGATTAAACGGCTAAACTCACTAATCTTTTAACCAACATTCTTTAACTACTAGGCACTATAGCCTAGTAGTTGCACTTCCCCCACTATAGATATATTTCTGTTCATTTGATATAACCATGATTAGTAAGTCGATCCTTCACAGATTGTTCATAACTAGAGCTGGGTCAATTTACCGTTTTTACCCCTAAAGTTACTTCTTGTTCCTGAAGTCCCACTGATCCTCTAATGAACAATTGGTTTGATGTCCAACCACCAAAAGACCTGGAGTCAGTACTTAAGCGAACAACCTCTCTACTATCCCTAAAAGCGGGTAGGAGTGAATTCTATCTTGCACCCTATGTCCCCAGCTATTAACCTAGTCTTACCCTTGAAATGGGAGGTTATTGAGTCGACAAACTTGGGCCACTCTCACCCATGCAAATCTAAGGATAATTCTGAATAAACAGGAGTTCATAGTTAGCTCAGGATTAAGGTCGAGTTACCTAGATCATCGAGTGAAAAAATCAATCTCAATAGCGAACGACATTATAAAGTGAGAGTGATTTTCTTCATGGTTCGATCTTATGCAATACTCATTGTATAGGACGCTCCCACTCACATGTCTCCACATGTACAATTTAGTGATCACATTGTTTATATCATATACAAAAGTAGGCCGCATCCATAGTGTCCCCCGGATGAGGTACTCAGCCTTATCCCTGTACTATAGATCATTTTGACTATATACTTGAACTTGATTCACTCTTATGTCGCTACATATAATTCAAGTAATCATACTATAGCCAGAGTATTCTTAGTTTATTGAATTTAGATTAATGATCGTAAAGTTCACCTTATTCAATAACGATCTTTACTGAATAAACATCAATAATAACTTTATTGAAAATAAAATATTGTTTTTGTTTACAAACTATGAGTTTTAGGACATAAAACCGAACAGATTGGTAATTGTTATTGTAAGCCAAATCTCTCAAAGGCAGATGTTCGTCTCAGCACCCAGAGAAATCTATGACACAGGCTCGCAAAATATCTTCTAACATCTGATTCAGCCTTTTGGTGTTTGAGGGTGGAACGCTGTACTGAATCTCAACTGGGTTCCTAGTGCTTTTTGGAGACTTTTACAAAACTAAGAGGTGAATCTGGTGTCCCAGTCTGAGACTATGGACACTGGTATTTTGTGTGGGCGTACTATCTCCCTGATATATAACTGAGCCCTCCGATCCACTGGATATTGTTGAGAAATAAACTTAAATGTAGGACAGAAAAAAGAAAAAAAAAAAAAGGTAATTATGAATTTTTCTTTGGTTTTAAATTCGGTCAAAAAGACCATTATTAAATTTGAGAGAGAAATGGCTTGTGGGAGAGAGAAAAGTGATGGGGAAGTTATAGCTAAACTTAGCCTTAGTAAAAACTATAAAAAAAGACTTTACCTAGTAAAATGCGGAGAGAAAATGAGAAGCACATCAAACTTGTTTGAGTTAGTGTGTAATACAAAAAAACCTTTTGATAACTTCTTTGTCTCTTTGTCTCTCCTCTTTCGACACCTCCTTTCAAGTTTCGTGAGAGTTATCTAAACGAGTTAGATTCAGAGTAAGCGTTTCTTTCTCTCAAGTTGGTATCGGAGCGGCTTTATTTTTTTACAAATTGGTATTAGAGCAATTTATTTTTCTACAAATTGGTATCAGAGCCGATGGCAAACATGATGGGACAAATGTCGCTACCACGATTGACGAAGACGAACTACGAGAATTGGAGCATCCAAATGAAAGCTCTTCTCGGTTCGCAAGACGCATGGGAGGTGGTCAAAGACGGTTTCGAAGAATCGATTGATACCACAGGTTATATGGTGGCGCAGAACAAGACGCTAAAGGAATTACGGTCAAAGGATAAAGCAGCATTATACATGCTGTTCCGAGCTGTTGACGAGTCGGGCTTTGAGAAGATTGCAAGGGCAACTACTTCAAAAGAAGCATGGGACACTCTAGAAAAGGTATTCAAAGGAACCGATCGAGTCAAGCAGGTGCGTCTCCAGACTCTGTGTGGTGAGTTGGAGAGCATGAAGATGAAATTGCGGTATCGGAGATGATAGAATCGAAGAAGGATGAACAGCCGAATAACAGAGAGCCTGAGCTCGAAGAGAGAGATCTCCAATGGCGGGAAAGAGAATTTGAGGAAGAAAGAAGAAAGAAAATGGAATAGAGTTGAATTTGAGGAAGAAAGAAGAAAGAAAATGGAATGGAGATTGAACATGAGAAATAGATGGTTCAAATGCAAGCTGCAATCCCTTCAAATTCCCTTGAAAATCCCAAAACAATGACGAAGAAGAAGCCCATACGACCAGCGAACGAGCCAATGAAACTACCAGATCATGAGAAGGAGAATAGAGATTCAGAGCAACAACTCAAAACTGTCATGGATAAATCCGTGGAGAAGTCTCAGTTGCAGACGTTGAAATCACTGAACGAGCATTTTTTGAAGGAGACACACGAGAAAAGAAAGAAGTTTGGAGGTCTAGTTCAGGCTAAAGAGGGTTTGGAGCTCAACTTGAAGAAGAATGTCGACGAGAAGAAACAAAGCTAAATGGATGAAGTGGGAGATAGGATTTGTAGGTTAGTTGAGAGTGAGAGATTGAAGAATGTAGAGAGTGGGAGATTGAAAGATGAGAATAATGGACTTGTGTTGAAAGTTAAGAAAGAAAGGGAGAAATGGATGAAGGTGTGTTGTGAGAGGGATGAAGTCAAGTCTAATTCTGATGGATTGTTTGAGGAAATAGGAAATTTGAGAAACAAAATGATTGAAATGGAGAATGAGAAAAGAGTTTTGGAAGAGACAGAATTTGAAGGTGAAATGCTTGGAATCTATTGAAAGAGAAGAAATTTGGTAAGAGGTTATTGGATGAATTTGGTAGGGTTATTGAAGATTTGGTGGCCCACTCAGATTCGAAAAGGAAGGAGAAAGATGTAGAGATGTTAGCTCAACAGAGAGATTCAGTTAATGTGAATCTGAATCTGAATCGAGTCCAACAGGAGGCAGTGAGTTTACGAAGGGAATTGCTTAAACTGAACGAAGCCATGAGGCAAAAATGAAATTGAGATAATCACTCGTGATAAAGCTGAAATGGAGGAAGCAAAAATGAAGGTAGAAAATGTCGTTGTGGACTTACGAAGGGAATTGATTAAACTGAACGAAGTCATGAAGTCTGAGTCAAGCGTAGCTGAGAACGGGAAAAATGAAGAGGTGGTGTCACAAATGGGATGTTCTTGAGAAGATCCAAATGAAGTCTCATTAGGGAAGGACAATCGTATTTTTTCGCTCAAGGAAAAGAAGAAAAAATTGAAGAAACCACGACTGAGATCGAGAAAACGAAAACGGCGCAGGAGTAATCATTGAGTAGGAGCATTTAAGTTTATAGGGAGTTTTGTTGAGAAATAGACTTAAATGTAGGAGAGAGAAAAGAGAGGTAATTATGAATTTTTCTTAGGTTTTAAATTGGGTCCAAAAGACCCTTACAAAATTTGAGAGAAAAATGGCTTATGGGAGAGAGAAAAGTGATGGGCAGTTATGGCTAAACTTGGCCTTAGTAAAAACTATAAAAAGGGATTTACCTATCGTTGTAAAATCAAGATAGAAAAGGAGCAGCACAACAAACTTGTCTGAGTTAGTGTGTAATACAAGAAACCTTTTGAGAACTTCTTCGTCTCATTGTCTCTCCCCTTTCGACACCCACTTTAAAGTTTCATGAGAGTTATCTAAACGAGTTAGATTCAGAACGAGCGTTTCTTTCTCTCAAGTTGGTATCGGAGCGGCTTTATTTTTCTACAAATTGGTATCAGAGTAATTTATTTTTTTATAGATATGTGGACTTGCTAGGAATGAAGTGATCTGTCTTGCTTAGTCGATCTACAACCACCCAGATTACGTTATATCCCTGCTTAGTCTTGGGCAACCCTGAGATGAAGTCCATACAAACGGCTTCCCATTTCCATTGAGGAACATTCAAGGGCTATTACAATCCTACTGGATGTTGTCTCGGGACCTTTACCTACTAGTAGGTTAAATATCAACTTACGAAATCTGCTATCACGAAATCAACTTACATCTTTTCAGATCTTGATACATCTTAGTACTTCTAGGTGAAACGTATAAGATGTATCATGGGCTTCAGTCATAATATCCTTTATGATTCTCTCGTCTCGGGGAACGCACAGGCGATCTTGCCACCGCAGGCCCCCATCTAAAGAGATAGAATACCCAGTTGGTCTCTTCGCTTCTTTCTGACTCCACACTTTGTTGAGGTGTTCATCAGACCTCTAGGCATCAATGACTTGTTTTCTTAGGGTGAGTTGCATGGTCATCTGTGCTACTTGAGCGGAGCCACCTTTAACCACAACATCTATCCCAGCGATCTTTATTTTATCTTGTAATTTCTCTTGCTTGGTGATCATTGCAAAAGTATGAATGATCTTCTTGCTCAATGTATCAGCTACAACATTGGCTTTGCCTGGATGGTACAGGATCTCTATATCATAATCCTTTATCAATTCCAATTATCGTCTTTGTCTCATATTGAGCTCCTTCTACGTGAACAAGTACTTGAGACTCTTGTGATCGGTGAAGACTTGAACTTTGTCCCTGTTGGATTTTATGTCCTAAAACTCATAGTTTGTAAACAAAGATATATTCTATTTTCAATAAAGTTATTATTGATGTTTATTCAGTAAAAATTGTTATTGAATAAAGTGAACTTTACGATCATTAATCTAAATCCAATAAACTAAGAACACTCTGGCTATAGTATGATTACTTGAACTATATGTAAAGACATAAGAGGGGATCAAGTTCAAGTATATAGTCAAAATGATCTATAGTATAAGGATAAGGCTAAGTACCTTATTCTGGGGACACTATGGATGCAGCCCACTTTTGTATATGATATAAACAATATGATCACTAAATTGTACATGTGGAGACATGTGAGTGGGGGCGTCCTATGCAATGAGTATTGCATAAGATCGGACCATGAAGAAAACCACTCTCACTTTATAATGTCGTTTACTGTTGAGACTGATTTTCTTTTCATTCGATAACCTAGGTAACTCGGTTTTAATCCTGAGCTAACCATGAACTCCTGTTTATTCGGAATTATCCTTAGATTTGCATGGGTGAGAGTGACTCTAATTCGTCGACTCAACAGGCCTCCCATTTCAGGGGTAAGACTGGGTGAATGGCTGGAGACGTGGGGTGCAAGACGGAATTCACTCCTACCCACTTTTAGGGATAGAAGAAAGGTAGTTCCCTTAAGCATTGACTCCAGGTCTTGAACAAGGGGCCCCACCCTCTCATTGCCCTGAGAGGGATTCGGTTTACTGGTTGGACCACAAACCAATTGTTCATTAGAGGATCAGTGAGACATAAGGAACAAGAAGTAACTTATTCAAATATGTAATATAACGATAACCAATGTGACGTTCGAGTAAATGTAATATAACGATAACCAATGTGACGTTCGAGTAAATGAGATATACATGAATAAATCAAGATTCCTTTCCATTGCCATCCTTCCAACTTTTTGCACCTTTGGGTCATTAGTATCCTCAATCGCTAGTCCAAATCATCCAAGCACCAGTTCCACACAATTCATTATAATACATTTGATTATAATATCTCTAGCATATTTCTTATTTGAAAGATTACTAAACGGTTAGACATTTAACTCTAAAATATTTAATATTTATATTGATTAAACGATATATAATATTATTAGCAATTCATTAGCATGATTGCATGTGTTTGCATGTGTTTAGGTCATTGGTATCCCTTATAGAATAGAGATAGGTCCCAAGAGCATGATTGTATATGTTTGCATTAGCATGGCCTCTATAGTGGGGTCAGTTAGTGAGTATTTCGACTGGAGGCCACCCCCTAGAAAATAGAGATAGGTCCCAAGAGCATGATTGCATGTGTTTGCATTAGCATGACTCCTACTTATAGTGTGGTCACTTACTGAGTATTTCAACTGGAGGCCACTCCTAGAGAATAGAGATAGGTCACAAGAGCATGATTACTTGTGTTTGCAAAGCATGACCCCTATAGTGGAGTCACTTACTGAGTATTTCGACTGGAGGTCACTCCTAGAGAAAAGATATATGTCCCAAGAGCATGATTGCATGTGTTTGCATTAGTATGTCCCCTTATAGTGGGGTCACTTACTAAGCATTCTTCGAAACACTGAGGCCGTATGACATATCACTTTTCAGGTAAAGGTAAGGCGCCCGTGTATGGA